TATGTATGTGCCAGGTTGCAGGATAAACGGACGGACAGAATCGAACAAAATTTTGACAGAGTATTGCCATAACACCTGGGCCTATAATAGGATACAAAAATTGGGATTCGACAAGGGGGCGTGGCACCTCCCACAGGCGTGAAATTTTTAATCAGCCATAACTTCGAAACTATAAGTCACATGAACTTGAAATTTGGTATGCAGTCATATATGTGGTAGCTTACAGTAGAGTATATATAAATGACTTTGTACAAGTGGGCGCGGCACATCCCATAGGCGTGAACCCTATTCAGCTGGCATTTCAGGGTACTATTTTATATATATATAAGAAAAATTTGAAAGTTAGGGGGGGCTCGAGCACCCCCCTGCCCCTACCTGGCTACGCCCATGAGTCACATGAAATTGAAATTAGGTATCCAGACATATCTGCGGTAGGTGCTTACAGTAGGCTAGGGATGCTGCGGGCAAACTGCGCGCACGCGAGCGTGCTAGGCGAGGTGAAGTGAGCTGTACGGAGATGGCATCGTATACATATTAACCACTATACACTTATTTTCAAGTAAAAATGCGTGTATGTATGTGTACTTTTGCGACAACTGAGCCAGTGTGGCATCAGGCCACCAGAAAAAGCCAATTTTTCCAAACCAAAAGCGCCAAGTATTTATTATCATGTTTAATAATTTTTTGATTCAGTAAAAAGTGTATATACATATCCATTTCCTAACGTTTTTATTAATAAATTAATTTCAATACATTTATAACAACGCAAAACATATTTAATTTACCTATTCCTCACATTTTATTCAGTAAATGAATTCCATCAGTAAATGAATTCCATCTTAAGTGTATACATACATACATATGTACCTATGCATTCGGTGTGCTTAAATTAAAAAAGCATCACTAAATACCGCACCAAGCATTGAATTACAATTATTTTGGCTTTTTGGTTTCCCAAAAGCACTAAATTTAGTGCAAAATGCACGACCTTGGCAACAGTGAGCTGAGCACATCAATGCTCAAACAGTGATGCCAGACCAAGTATTGAGTAAATGCGCTATGTATATTTTTCTTTTAAAGCAAACGTTCTAATTGGCGAGGGTATTGATTTTTGGTTCTTACATAGCACAGTGATCAGATTCACAAACTTATCTTAGGACTTAATTAAAATAATCAACATTATTTGTAGACGAATATATTTGTGTTCGTATGAAATAGTAGCTTATGTCGGGAGGCTGGCTTTAGTAAAATGTACCATTTCCTATATTCTTTAAACCACAAGGAATTTTTTTAAGAAACTTTTTACGAATATTGACTTGCTAGCATCGCCATTAACATTACCGTATCTTTTACGTTTATTTTCCAAGAGTTCTTCAACGACTCGGCGCCAGTGAGTCTTCCGCCATCGTATGCTGCGAATGGTTCATTATACTAAAGCCAGTCTTCCGACAGATATGTATACTTCCTAATAGGCTTGTAAAATGCCCGATACCCAAATCCCTCGCATGAGTTATTATCGGTAAAAAATTGGGTACGCTCAAATCTGGCATCGCTGCAGCAAGTACAGCGCCAGTGAAACAGTGTTGATATTTTAAGTACAATTGTACTTTTTTCAGTACAATTAATTTTAAAATGTACAAAAGTACAATTTGCCGATTTTAAGTACAATTTCAACATCAAAAATACTTTTGTACCAAACGCTCAAATCTCTTCTAGCACTTTGATTCTTAATCCGTTTACATTTAAGTAAATGGATATACCTATATTACATATTTGCTACAAAACGAAATTATGAATTGTAATTTTGAATGTAAACGTGATTGTGAACAGTAATATTAGTTATGTGCGTTATGGTAATTGCGATTTCTTATCACTGGCGGCTGAAATATCCCTCATCGCTATTTATTTTGAAAAAATCTTTGGAAATGCAATTTACATAATGGCGATGCTGCACAAATAGAAGTAATTAAGTAATTGGGGGGTTGAAAGTAAAAAAATTTATGTAAATTCCATGCGTTGAAATTATAAATTTCCCTTGAGGATTTTCATTTTATCGATAGTGATCCCATTTTATGTTCATTAATATGAACTGACCTAGATAGTGTATTAATGTTTTATCATCATTGTATTCATCTTTGACAAAATTACACGGTCACCCGGTGTTTATTTTATTTTTATACCCGAGCGCACTTGTGCACAAGGGTATTATAACTTTGTTCACATAACGGTTGTTTGTAACAGGCAAAACGAATCGAGATAGATA